AAAGTAATGAGTTGTGTGCTCGGGCCATTCCCACTCCACCCCAGTGATACAGGCATTCTCAGCTACTGTACGAGAGACCGAGGCGAGGAGAAGCTAAGTTAAAGATCCTGAAAATCGAAGCCCAAGTGTGGGAATCAAATTCCTAACGGAAATCTAAACCCAAGTTATCAAGACTCTTGGAACCAGCGTTGCAAAGCTCGATTTTGGTTTACTCAAAAAACTGTAAACCCACGCAACTCAGGGCGGAACAGCATGAAATCCATCACGGTGTTCTTTTCCGCGCCAGGGTATTGCGTCAGGTCGAAGCCAGGGGCTCTGATCTTCTTTTTGTGCCTTCTTTTCTTCTTCTTTTTCTTCTTGGAGACGGCGGCAGCTGAATCTCGCCTTTGCATCTCCAACTCGTTCACGTTGCGGCCGCTGCTGCCACCAAGCGGTGGCGACGGATTGCTTGTGCCGGAGCTTCCGGAGCTTGAAGACGACATCGGGCTTTTCTCCGGTGTATGCTCCAGACCTGTCCTGCTGCCATCGTTTCTTCGAGACGGGCTCGAGCCCCGCTCAGCTCGCTCCGACATGGCCGGTCAAAATCCTCTTGCTCTAACCTGCAACTACCAAAAAGGAGATCTACCTCAGAAGCAGCAACCAGAGCAAATGAACGAACATGCATCGTCAACAGGCTCAGCTGCGTACTCCATTGCAGTTTGCAACTGCAAAGAAACCTATGCCGGCCAAACTTTCCTACAGACTGCGTGAGCAGATGGACACAAATGCGCTGCGAATGTCTGAAATTCTCGATGCCAACCTCGCCTGGCGTGGGAGGCATCAGAAGAGGGAGATGCCGGTCAACACAAACACATTCAGGGTGCAACCTCAGGTCATCATGAACCGATATCATGCCTGACGGCTCCAATGCCTTTACTTTACTTCGTACAACTGCGAATCCGCAACTTCGGAGGTCGCCGACATTACTGCGACATTGAATACGACGTACACGACGCAAGTCAAAGCGATTCGTGCACTAGGTCCGTGATGGTGTGGCAGCCCTTGTCTAAGATCCATCCAACATGCTTGCTGTCCACCGGAATCGAAACCTCGGCAACAAAGGATGTACACGCAGACCAGTGATCAGACGGTCTTGACGGCGGGAGTGCGATATGCCGAGCCCTGCACTGTGATGTCATCACGTGCTGCTTTCACGATTTATGGTGTCTGCCCGCACCCGGTTACCCTGGAAGTTGTACTGCACAACGACGATGACAAGAAAACGAGATCACTGCTGAGACGATGTCGATGAGTTTTTGAGAAGAACATTGGTGAAAGTCGAAAGCACAGCGTGTAGATAGTTCTGCTGCACTTCAATTAACACATGACTTTAGCTTCAACTTGCGGTAGAAGCAAAATTACAGGTCTTTCACTCAAAGAGGCCATGGCTAGGCATCTCCAGTTCTCAATGTTCCCAACAGTCTGGCTTCCGATCCTGCGGAACGAAGCTGCAGGAAGCTTTCTACCGAGGGGCCTGAAAGGTCCCGGCCTGAAAGAAGAATGGCAATCCTCGCTGAATCTTAAAAGCTAATCCCAGCAAGACTGGCTCGTTGAGAGAATCGACTCTTGGCGATCAACCGGAATCATTCATTAGGCAGCATGCGAGCTTCAACAACCGGGATACTCTTTCCCAATTTTTTTCCATGGAGTTTCGACTTCGAGTCTTTGGGTCTTGGCCAAGGTCTGGCCGGCCGCAGAGATAAAATGGAACCAGGTGCCAAGTGCACTGGGCATGTCCCGAGTTTTCGGCTAAGAAGATTCTGAATTTTGCTGGATCGATCTTCCCGAGCCGCTCAACTCCAGACTACCCGGAACCCGCACTTTGCACGAAAATATGTGCGGAAAGATGCATTTGCGGCAGATTCATTGCGGCAGATTCAGAAAATCGCATATACCGTGCTACGATGCAGCCTTCCGAAAGGTCTGCCTGCGGGCGTGGAAGGCGCCAGCAGCCCACAGTACAATTGCAGGATCCTCTTTGGTCCCTGCTTCTCCGCACGAAAAAGATGCCATCGTCCAGTGACTAGTGTTTCACAGTCTTGACATGGCACTGGGCGCCCGCTGCGGAGCAAGTAAACACGACCTCAGCCAAGCATCGAAACAGGCCTAAACCCTAAACCCTAAACCCCGAACTTCCACCAGGGCGAACCCCCCCCCCCGCAATCCCAGCACCTTCGAGGGCCGAAGGCTTGGGGCTCTGAGTGCCCGGGAGTTCAAACTCCCGAAACCAACATGAAAGCTCAAGGAAGGATCTTCAAAGGAGGCTTTATAGCGCGGCTTCTTCACGGGTGTGAGGTTTTGTTGCGGGGCTTCAGGGCTTCAGGCGTGTAAGGTAGTGAAGCCCTTCAGGCTTGTTCGGGTCCTTCTTCTGCGCTTAGGTTTGGGCACACCCTGGAGCTGCAGAAACTTGGGACCCTGGACAAGGTCGCAACCGAACTCCGATACTGTCCCGGGCACAAAGAACTCCATGCCGATCTTGGACACGCAGTCAAGGATGCACAGAAGAGCCTTGGGCAGGCAGGGTCTCCCAAACAAAAGCAGACTGGGAAGGCTTCGGGGGACCTTTTGAGGTCCGGGTTTTGGGATGATCATCCTCTAAAACCCCGTTGTCGAACCTCCAAACTTGACGCCGAAATGGAGCAGGATGTGGCTTTGTGGCGGTACAGCAACCAAGACTTCCATGTAACATGCCAAGTCGCTTAAACTTGCTCTTGTTTACATGTCACATTCGAGCTTGAAGCACGAAGCGCACAAGACAATGCCCGATCTCATGAGAACAATGTAGTGACATACTGGCCGGCTTGGGGCTTCTGCTTCAGCTTTTTGGGTCAGGGTTAGTGTCTCGACCGACCTGAGAATTGCAAATAGTAAACTTGAGTCATTTCTGCGCGTTTGCTGCCAACGCGCATCTTCCATCCCTTTGGAGATCAGGCCCGCATGAGCCCGGCCTGACCACGAAGAGGGGCACTGCTACGGAGAGGGCGGTTTAGGGCTTAGGGTCTGCAATACTTCCTTGTGCACGGACGACGACAGAAAGGGCATGATTATGTAGAGCTGCTGACGGCGATAACAGTGGGGGTGATGCTGGTGCGTCTACAATCAGCTCTTATCATAACACAACGGTTGTGTGTCTTGGGGTATATGGTACAAATGCTCTCTCGGCATTCGGGGCGTTTCGCTACCAAGGCAGGGTTTTCATTCTGCCGGTGTGTCTATAGGTGTATTTTGCTACATATGAGTGTTTCAATGAGTGCTTCGCTGGCATGATCCAGCATGCCAAGACGATGGCAGAATCATGATCCATGATGGTGAAGACTACCATGATGGTCACGGCCATAATCATTGTACAAGGACAGTCACAGTGACACTGCTTCAGGCGTCTACCATTACGACACAGGGTCGGGAAAGGACTACAGCAAAGCCCTAGCCGCTCTTGTCAGTTCTCATGCAATTCTCCCATAGTCATAGTTCGAGTTGCACTCTAGTTTTTCGTACCGTCGAGTCATGTCAAGCACAGAGAATCAAGTATGTGCTCCCTCCTAGGGCCTGGCACGTATGATTGAACCCCTTGTTCGTGCTCCGGAATTTCATTACTGGCTGGTGGTGGCTGTTGCTGTTGCTGCAGATTTTGAGCAGTTTCCTAGCGAAACCTTTCCGTGGCTTTGGCTGCCAAGGTCCCCAGAACTTCGACTTAGCTGTTCACCCTGATTACACGAGCTGTGCTGGAAGCAGCCTGGCCTAGGAGGACAACGATCGGGTATCCCGTCCAAGAGATGACTGTCAGCCAAGACAGTTGGGAAAACAGGCGCTGCACGTCAGGAGGCCGATCCAGCACAGTGCCATAGGCAACGTCCACCTCGAGGGCAGCGATCATCGTCATATAGAAAAAGACAGAGATGGAAAACCAGAGATATTTCTGCATCGTTTTCTCCTTCGGCACCAACATGGCGCTGACTATGCCCCCAACTAGCATCATCAGGTCACTGCCGATCACAAGAATGGTGGTATGCTTCTCTGCGCCGCCAATCATGCATAACTCGAAAAGCATCAGAGGAGTTGTCGCAATCCAGTCGATGTAGCGGATCACAGGTACCTTTCTGCCACCAATCGTAGCTTCCCCGAGGCCGGTGACCTTGGCCAAATAAGCCATGGCGGCGATTGCCATGACAAAGAACGTAACCACGAAGGATTCCTCGTGCTCATGCCGTGCCCACAGAACGATGAGCAACAAAGAAGCCATAGTAAACAAGGCCAGGACCACCCAGGACACGACAATGGCAAATTTGTAAGTCCACCACTCATGCTGACTGCTCTGCACTTCTTGTCGGCGCTGCTCCAAAAGGTCCGCGAAGGAGTTATGAGAGGGTCTCTTGCGCCCAGTGGCCATGGGTTTCGCCTCCGGAAAGATATTTCCTCGTCCCTCCTCCAACTTCTCTACACGAGGAGACTCTCCGGCTCTCTCCGAGGAAACCGTGGAGGGCGTCCTTGACCCTGACACCTCATTGGCCATCTCCTTGGCTCTAGTCGCCGCAACGAATCCCACACCACATCCCGGCAAGCAGAGCTGCATGGCTGTCTTCATTGCTCGGATCAGGCCTACCCTCACGGACCTTTTGTGCGGGAAAACTGCGATCCAAGCGGTTGAGACTGTATCTTCCACCCTCGGAAGACGCTCGGCTCGACTTCGATCGGCTAGTTGTCTGCAAAATCTCTACAAGTCTGGCAGCATGCAAGAGCAACAAGCAAACGCACTCTTGCGCTGCAAGCGCACCTACTGTAGCGCGTGCCTTTTCTTTCGAGCTCGAATCCCTGAGGCAGGCAGCGGGGAAGGCGAGCTGCGAGCGCTCGTCATCCGATCTTCGGACGCAGAGCGCCGAAAGGGGCGCCTTCGACGGACTTCTCCACGGCGGTCTCCTTCTCCACGCTTAGCGGCGTAGCTTCGAGCCGCTCAGGAGGCCTGCTCAGCCTTTGGGGCTCGGCTCCGGATTCTCCGGCTGCTCCTCGCTCTTCTTCTGGCGGAGCTTCTGGAGCTCCTCCTTGATCACACGGTCCTCGCTCTCCCCACCATTCGCCAAGACGGCCTCGGCTACGACTCAAGGCTCTTTGCTAGGACTGCGGCTCTGCCGCGCCTGGATCACCCAGCGCTTCCGCTTCAAGCCAGCCACCTCCTGAGCCCAAGCCGAGTTCCGAAGGGATGTGGAGTTTTGCACGGCAGGCTGGAGACTCTCTGAAGGAGAGTGCGAAGAGGAGAGTGCGAGACCGTGGCGCTTTGTCACATTGACCATCTGCATCACCATCATCACCGCCTATATCATATATTGGTGGCTTGTGCAAATGCCAAGCAGGTTCCCGGAGTCTTCTGATTCTTGCCCGTTTCTCGCCACTGCAAGCAATTTGTAGTTCTGGGTTTGTCCCACCACCTGCCCACACCCTCACATGACCCACACTTTCATCAACCCCCTCACCACCCACCCCCGTACACACACACACACACCCTTCAGGCACAGCCACCCCCATCATGCGCTCAGTCACAAAGAACATTGCCAGTGGCGGGTGTCGTTGAGCAAGCAAAACCCCAGATGTTGCTCTTCTGGCACACCGAACCAAGGGACCAAACAAGCACAAGAAACAGACGACCCCGGGAGAAAGCAGGGAGGAGGGAGAAGGACGAAGACGAGCACAATGGCTGTGATCATGCAGGTGGGGGGGTTGCTTCTCACACTGCTGTTGATGATGATGACCGTGGTGGTCTTGATGATGATGATGCTGACGAAAACGAACATTGGTAATGGTCTACTAAGGGGATGGTGAATGCTTGTCACGTTACTGGCAAGGATCGGAGAGCTTGGTGTTGAAGATTGCATGTGACCAGGAGCCTACAACGCATTTTCGAAACTGACCCAACCCGGTTATGCCAAGCTTTGTTTGCCGCTGGCATCATCCTTCTCCTCTTGCCATGCTGCCTCAAGCTGAGCTGCGGGCATTCCGAAGGGATGCAGCCTCCAAGACCAGCTGCGAGTGGAACTTCTCCTAGGCGGTCGGAATGTCTCATCGAGGGACACGAACCTTGGGACCATGATTTGGGCGTGGACGAGCCGCTGCTTCGTCGCATCCTGCCAGGAAGGCAGGGCTGGACTGGACACTGGTTGCTTTGATTGCGCGCCTGTGGCTCTTTGCTTTCCATGGCCTTGTAGAATACCTGCGCCCAAGCACTTCTCAGCGCAATAGATTTACTTTGCGCCATTCCTCCTGTCGACCTCATTGTGGTCAGGGTACGGGTACCGCCTACAAGATAGTCCCATGATCTTCTCTCGATGTTGGAATCTATATATATATATATATATATACATACGTACATACATACATACATACATACATACATACATGCATGCATGCATGCATACATACGTACATACACATCTGTGTATATACACACACATGTAAATGCATGAAAACCACATGAACCTATTTGTAAGGCAAATGGTATCGCATTCAAGCAGCAAAGAATCCTGTGCTACAACATCTGAGATAAGCTGTAATGATATCATATGCCATAAGGATGTCTGTCTTGTAAAGGCACATTAAAACTGATGGTGATCTATGTTCATACATCTGTGCCGCTGTGATTTCATAAATATATATATATATACATATAAACGCCATAGCTTGTACCTGCATATATGCATATACTGTGACAGAACACTACGTGTCCAAGTAAGAGTACATAGCTCTCTGTCAGTGGTTCCACACCCCCAATGTCTCCACTCTTCACTGTGACTCAGCCCCTTGCCTGTAGCTCGCTCATCAACTGCGTGTTCTCTGCACGTAGCTTCGTGAGCTCGGTGGGCATCTGCGCAAGAACATGCGCAAAGCTCTTCGTGGGGGGGATTTTATGGTTCTTGCGCCTCCCCACACTCCACTCTTTAACAGAAAAAATGATGGACAAATATCTTGGCTTCTGTAAATTTTTCGAAGTGAGGACCCATCATTCTTGTGTTGCAGTGCATCGTGCACTACGAGCAGCGGGACGAAACGACGCGAGCCAGACGCCCGTTACGAGTAACGATATGTGTAACGACCCACTCCCCCAAACGGGGCTTCTGCTTCGAATGCATGTATCGGAGATGAAAATGAAAGCAGCTAGCAAGGCTACGTGACCGCCTTTGACTCCCGGCTTATCTAGCTGTCAGACCTGCCATAGAAAAGGTCTTGAGGCGTCCCCTTGTGCATGGGCTTTTGGTCAGCTGCTGTCCCTGTTTTCAGCTTCCCCACCTTCAGGCATGAACGAAATGAGTCCAAGCCCATCCCATCTGTCTCCGCCTTTGCAAGTTTTACACACATACATGTACATCTATATACATATACATATACATACATACATACATACATACATACATACATACATACATACATACATACACATATACATATACATATGACTCCGTGTGTTCGACGACTCCCAAGCTGCAAAGTGGCCAGGAAGTCTATCCGAACCTTCATGCAAGCACTGAATGCTGCGTCTTGCTGGACTGCCATGCCTGCTTGGCTTCCAGCTCAAGCTCCTGCAGGGCAAGACTCTCATGTCGAAGCCATGAAGAGTCTTCGGCCCTAAGACTGACTTCGCACCTGTTATAGTAGTAGTAATAGTGGTAGTAGTACGAGTAGTAGTAGTAGTAGTAGTAGTAGTAGTAGCAGTAGCAGTAGCAGTAGCAGTAGTAGTAGCAGTAGGAGTAGTAGTAGTAGTAGTAGTCGTCGTCGTCGTCGTCGTCGTAGTAGTAGTGTAGAGGTAGTAGTAGTAGTAGTAGTAGTAGTAGTAGTAGTAGCAGCAGCAGTAGCAGTAGTAGCAGTAGCAGTAGCAGTAGCAGTCGTAGTAGTAGTGGTAGTAGTAGTAGTAGTAGTAGTAGTAGTAGTAGTCGTAGTAGTAGTGGTAGTAGTAGTAGTAGTAGTAGTAGTAGTAGTAGCGACAGCGGCAGCAGCAGCGGCAGCTAGTA